CCTCTAATGAAATCATCTTCGCTCAATAATTCCCCCCTTGTCCAGAATACTACCCTATCGAATAGACCCTTCAGCCGCGGGTCCCGGAACACGCGGTTATTGCCCTTAGTGCAGGGAGGGAAAGGTCATTTTGTATTGTTCAATTTGCAATTTGCACCTCATCCATTTGACCCATCAATCATCAACCCGTTCCTTGTGGAAGCGTAAAAAGGAGCTCTCAATTGGGTGTGAATTAAAACCCCACCTTTTCTAGGAGTGGTGCCTGGCCCTCAATGGAAATTCTTCACCACAAATCTAACCCGGTGAAAAGGGCGTTCAATAATGAGGGCACTGCTCTATAGGGCGTAACTACCTATAATTATCCATGAAAGTGTTCACAACAGGTAGGTAGCGTGCATGAACAAAAAGGTCGTATTCTATGCCTGTCGTTAATGAGGCGTCGTCGAGAATTCAACAATGCTCCCACATAATTTCATAAAGAGCTTTTCTGGGTACCCCATCTGGGCGACTAGGGCCGCTATATCGACAATTAGCAGAGGAACTTTGAAGGGGTCTCCCCGAGAACTCGGAATTTGGTAAGACACCAAAGCCTGGCCCCAGTAAGTGCCTTGGATCAACTTAGGGACTAGGTGTCAGCCTAGTGTTGTTGCCTAGTCCCTAAGGGGACAAATTGGTGAACGTAACCAATTAAGCGTAGCCTGCTGTCCACTTGAGCGTAGCCCCACTATCGACTTTGAACGTAGCAGTATATGCCTCACCGCGTGCATCCACTGCCTTCGTCGGACATTCACACTAATCTCTTGAAAAGCCTCTTAGTCAAAGTCTATTCCTGGATGTGACAGAGCTTTGTCGAAGGGAATTGCCCAATTGGGAGCGGCTATTCAGTCAAAAGTTTCTTTTGATCCTACAAAAACGGCTTCCCAAATGGTTCCTATGTTGCAACTTTCTGGGCTTTGCCTGGAGCCGGCTGGAATGGCGCAAGGTTGGAAGCGATTGCCCCTTTCTCTAAACCTAGGGCCACAGTTCCCTCCCGTAGCTCCTAAGGGGGTCTATCTAGTCACCACACGGTTAGCCACCTGCTGCTCTTCCCTAATTCCCATTTAGGAGGCTCCCTCCCTGCAATCACAATAAACGGACGGGGCGGATCACCATAACACTGAAATTGGGCCGCCTTTGTGTTTCCAGCAGTCCATGCTAATACGATGCATCTCGGCCGAAGAGAATAGCTCACATCTGTGGCACCGACAACGTTGTAAACGCCTTCCGGCCTGCTTTCCCCCCTTCTCGCCGACGCCCACGCGTTTTGGATTGTCCCGGACGGACTTATACGGTTTATAAAATGCAGTTGCTAAAACTTGTTAAAGAAATACCTGGAATTCTGTGGTCCAACACTTTGTCGATCGAAACTCGAACTGGAAGTGATCTGGGCATCCGTAATGGCTCCAGATTCCATGCCTAGGGCTGTTGGTTCACATTCATCTGGAACAGTAAGGTTTAACTGGTAGATATAGCCTTTCCAATGTTTTTAAAGTTTTATAGGGCTGAAGTTTCGAGAAGTTCGCCTTCATCAAAGCCAGAAAATCGAAGAACCATTCCTGAGACCGTCCTCTAAAGTGGAAGATCCCCCGGACCCCCGTAAAACTCGCTACCAGGTTTACGTCGATCAAAGTCGCCCGAGCGTTACACGGACCACCCAGAAATCCACGTAAAGTTTCAAGCGGTTACCGAGTAACTAGTATAATACTGGTAATCGTATGGGGTGTCCCTCAAATGGTGGTCTCCCACTAATAGAGATAAATCAGCAGATGTCTTATCTCCGTTTGCCTATTAGATGCGCATGGCAATATTGACGACGACATAGTAATGCCCGACGCGAGTGTAATAATAACCTGACCCATTTCAGCACGCTTCGGCACTTCCGAGTACTACTTAAGGAAGTTAGAAATAGTAACATGACTTTTATTACTTTGTGGGAACAGTAAAGTCATCCCTAAGACCACCTGTTAGCGTTTGTTTGCCCCTCTGCCTAAGGACGCTCTGCCACGGCTTATCTAATCAGGCTCCAGTCCAAAGGTCAACAGCAACAACCTGTTAGGGACTTTTTTGAACCCCTCAGTGCGTAAGAGAGCTAATTAGTCCATGATATTCATGTCTGGTGTAGGAACAAGTTCCAGGGACCTGGGAACAGGTCAGGCGTTGTCCCTGGCCATTACCACACAGTAGTAACCTAGTAGTTTCGGTAGACCGCTTTGAAATAACCATTTAATCAGCGGCCCAGCGGACTATACCCTTGTTAATCTGGTCACGTCTGTTGCGGCCGGCTTTTTGGCATAGACGGATTGTTGGGGATTAGCGAGAGCAGGCCGGACAGCGGCTGCTCCCCCTCCTCAGGATACGATCGGACGACGGCCGGCCGGCCGTCGTCAGCATAAACACTTCCCCAAAGAGTATTTCCATCATCGTGCCGACAGCCTTTATCTCTGTGTGCTCTGTATGTTTTGTGAAACGGGAAATTTTGCACGGAAGCCATACAAAAACTGCGAATCTCCCGATAAGCCTCGAAAAAACTGCATTGCAGGGAAGAAATGACAGCGTTTTTCCTTCCCATACCTTTGGGGCTGCTCCCGACAGTCACTGAAGCTGTTGGGAGGACAAAAGGAGCGCTAAAGTGAAAGACGCCTTTTTAGTAGTATTACAAAGAGCTCCCTTATCCTTCAACTTCCGCTAAGATAGATGACCCACGAAATCCCGCTGGGACGTCGGCGATTAAGAAGCGCTGCCCTAATTTTGTTCTCACAACACTTTTTTTTCTGCTGTACAATTTGAATAAAAAGACCGGGAAACGACCATTTCAAGTTTTTACTGACAACTTACAACTTTACAGTACTATCTGATCTCCAGCACTACTTTGAAGGCAAACAGGTGGACAAAAGTAAGCCCAAGTAAAAAAAGTTGGCAGTAGAAGTGATAAGGTCCCTTACCCATTCGTAATGCAGTCACTGCCTGCAGTACTACAACCCAAACTGACCACATTGCATCGCAAATTCTAAATGTAATTACTGGTAAATGTACTAGTTATGATACTGACGAACGACAAAAAAGGGAAAAAAGAAATGAAGGAAACGTCAGAAGGCTGTGGATTGTAAAGGAGTACATACTTGAGCTCGTGGAGGAAACACTATGAATGAGGTGGAAAAAGGTAAACAAAAACAAACACGAAAGCAAGTAAATAAAAAGGGAAGTAATAAGTAACTAGTAATACAGTGTGCAGTAAATACAGAATAAACAAAGTACATATTTGAGAAAAAAGAATCAATCGATGACTAAGTACGCCATGGGCTCCTATCTCAGAGTGGGATCAGAGCCAGCAGTCACCAGTCCAGTTTTTTCTTCACTGGAAGGATGAGGAGCTGGGGAACATTGGGTAGCACGAGGTAATTCAACAACTTGAGTATCTGACGCTTACTTGTAAAGCTAAGTAAAGCAGTAAGAAGTATAAAAAAGACGCTGTTTACTTTGAAAGGGCCACAAACGGCTGCTGTCGTCCTTAAGAAGTGCCGACATCGTAGTAAACAATATGGAGTGGAGTTTGTTTACAAAATGCTTTAACATTGTCAACAGAGGAAAGTAAAAACCATTCAGTTGGCAATGTTCAGCCATGAGGATGAGCTGACTAACTCGTCCATTGTACATGCATGTCATATGTGGGCTAGTTATGCATATGCAATAACAATCGCCATTCCACAAATAAAGAGGGGCTCCACATGGACAAAGTCTTCCTATGGGGGGACCAGCAAAACAATTCACACCATTTGAAGAGAAAAATTCAAAAATTTCAAGCTCATTACTTTTTAAGCTCGGGAGAACGGCCCAGATCCAGCAATTACTAGCGCATAGATGTGTCCATGATGAATAAATTTGAGTGGCTCTTGACCTTCGCGTAAATGGACAATCAAGGAATAATCAAGTAAGGATTTGATTGTAATTATTGATTCGGGAACAAAAGTAATGGTTAATAATAGTTAATAGTCAAGACTCGAGAAATTGAAAACATCCACGATCGCTACGTGAGGTGAAAGTCGAGAACTGCGGGGCGGGGGGAGGAGCACAAAAGGGTGACGATTAGTTCGAAACGGCAGTTCACTGCAAAATTCCCTGACTCGATGAAGGTCCTATATAAAATTACTGCTTAGTAGTTCCTAGTTAGGCTATGCTAGCTATCTACTCGGTCAGAGTACTGCCACCTTGTCAAGGAGCTTCCCAGGTTCGGCAGCCTTTTGACTTCTGGGTGGTCTGGTGGGGAGTAGTACCTACCGTCCCACTTGATCACAGCTGTGGGTCCTATGAGCTGCAAATGAAGATTCTGAAGGAGTTTGCCTAAGTGTGAGGAAAAGGACCAAATAAGTCCAGTTTCTCCCCTTGGCCTGATGTGGGAACTTGGGTTTGGCACCCACACAAGCAACAGAATGTTCCCCGGGGACGGGGTTAATATAAAGTTCAAACGAATTGTACTGATAATGTCATGGCTGTGTGAACTAAGACGCGATCATATCTGTCATTGATAATGATAGAACTGATTGTGACAGTAGGGGATGACACCTCACCGTCCCCCTCCCCCGTCCTCCTATTTGTAGGGACATATCAACTTATTCGTCACTTCCAATCAAGTAATAACACCAACCGCGACACTACGGATGATGGGCGAACGCAATCCGCGTTCGGGTCAGCACCCGATAGGGCCAATTTGCATACGCCAAATGAAGAGTTGTTGAGAAGTGCCATGGATTTCGCCGGCATTGAAAAGAAAAGGAAACACTTAGAATCAGGGTCCATAAAGTGGTCCTAAACGGAAAGTTCTAGAAGAAAATTCCATGGGCTAGATAGCAGCCAAGCTGTAGGTATGAGTAGTCCAAGTGCAATTCGAGGAATTTTCGCTGGTTGAATAGCAGGGAAAGTAACGGCATGGAGCCAAAACGTATACGTAACAAACTGGTATCGACCTTTGTAATGTTATACAGGTATGTTGACAGAACTGTGTAATCAAACTGTTTGCATAAACAGGACGTAGGTTGGTCCAGCCTGCTATAGTCTCTATAGCTGATTACTAGTAAAATCAGTACCTATTTGAACAATTACTAGTAAATTTACTATAAAAATTTATGAGTAAAATTTCAGGGAAGAACTGGTACACATAAAAAGTAGAATGTGTGTAGCAGTAATGGAAACAGCGGGGCGCTAGACGCGCCAACGGCGATAATCTGATCAAACTAACTTGGAAACCAAAATCCAGTACTCTCACAAATATTCAGCAGATGTCATTTGAAAGTGTTAACAAGTTCTTTACTGTCTAGTAATAAAAAGTTATTGTGCGGAAGTCGTATAGAGTATTAGCAATCGAGGTGGCACCAACGAGGCGAGGCGAAAGGTAACTTTATAGTAAAGACTATTAAAAGGAAATTTAATGGTTTCTAATAACTTGTGAATACCAACGCTCCCTAGAAATGGTAAACGGAAATACTACTTCCGGATTAAAAAAGTAACACAACTACTGTTTTACTGAAAGGACGCGGCTGCAGTTGACAGACTACTTCAAAGATCGAGAGCGGCACCACTTGTTGAAAAGAGAACAAACTCGTTCCCCTATTACTAGATAAAGATCTGAATCGAGTAATAAATCTTACAACTTTGTACATGAGAGTTATTGACTAGTTAAACAAGTTGGTAATAGATTTTGTAGGCCAATTGAAAGCTGGTGATGAACTTCTTGTCGAATCAACCCTTCAGAATGTTAAAAGGATGATGGATAATGATCCTTCTGGAAATAGCTATTTATATTTACTTTTACACTAATGGGATCAGAGGCTGTAAAATGGACGATGTGTCAGCTGATTCAGCAATTTCATATCAGTTCTGCACCAGCAGGAGCTGTCCTAGGGAAATGATTTATTAGATTATACCGACACAAACACTTCCACTATCAGACCCCACACAGGGCCTCCCGTAACTACTATCTACTCAATACTGTAAAATTCCTGGTCCATTCAATACTGAGTTACTAGTTTTTCATCCCAGTGAAAAATTGAAATGTAACTGNATCAAACTTGTTCGGACGTGAAGCACCAAAAAATAAACAAATAAGTAAACATGAAGTGCATAGGCTTCTTAAGAAGACAAAGAACATAGCAAAGTCCAAATCACAAACGTTTTTGGTTATTTAATCCAAAAACTCGCCAAGGCCGCGAGTGAGTAACCGCTGATGGAGAGGAGGGGGAGTGTTGGCGGGGAATTAATGATAAGTGGGCGGTCCTTGAATACGCTGTGCCTTCCTCAGAACTGAGGCATGCCAAATACGTTTTAATTGTATGTAAAATAGATACATTACTGTCAATCCCCCTAATTGGAGCCTCATACACCTTGTGATCAATGGATAGCTTTTTCCAAACCATAGATTATCACCAGTTACGAAAAGAATGAAAATTCCGATTGCGATCCATTCCACTATAGCTAGGAAAAAGGTTAGGAACGATTTGCACGAATAAAGCTTCTGTTAGATGGGTTGTGGGTGGCGCAAAGGTAGGAGGCGCCGCTATCGCGCGATCTACCGGCGACTGAGACCTTGGATATGGTATCAGGCATATCTGCAAAGGAGGAAACCCCCACCTGAATAATGGCTCTGCCTGGGCAGAACGGATATTTGGACATTGTGACAAATGTAACAAGTAATGGGTGGGAATCCAACTGCTGTAGCAAGAGCATGGTTTCCAGGAAGCACAAGTACGGGTTCGAGTCCCGTCCGAGGCCAAAGTTTTGCCCATAAACCCGCCAACCTTTTGAGACTTTCGGAGCGCCTTCTGTGGCCACGTAACAGCAGCTAACATAATTTTCCGGAATATTCATCAGCTAGAAAGGAATTTTTCAGAAATTCAAGGGTCCCTATGAAAACTGTTGCCGTTTTTGAGCTCCCCCACCTCTCGTGGTCGTTTAGGATGGCTGTGAGGATTGGAAGCCTACTGTCGACCAAATCGAATAAGCACAAGCTTTTTTGGGTTTGTTTACACACTCTACACTTTCACTTCATCACACTCGGCTTCCATTTACTTACTTTCTGTTTGTTTATTTTTTTATTCGAAGTATCCAATTGAATGCAACGAACGGATGGTGCACGCCACCGAACAAAGGCACAATCGCCATAAGAAAAAACTCTACAAAAAGAGAAATTGATTAAAATATCGATCCGAGTAACACCTCACCGCCAAAGTTTCCTATTCAAAGTCAATGCGTGCAACTGGTTTGCAGGGAACAGTTCAAACAGGTTGCTCTTCCGTTCGAGTACCCAAAGAGACCTTCTTTTGTGAACCTGTTCTGCCGCCTTTAGAGCACAGGCAACCCTGGACTTGGCAGTTAAACACGTCCGAGAATATGGACCACACCGGAAATGGCACTGCAAATGAGAGAGTTTGTTGTTCATTGTTTCTTGTTTATTCATTTACTTTACTCGTTGATAACTTCCGACTAACTGGTTGCTGGGTCGCAGATGTTAGCAGAAATAAGTTCAGGTGTTAACAGGGTGTTATAACCGACTTCTGTATCACGCTCTGAAGGGAATAGGGAGGCCAAAAAGAAGGGCCTGGGCTGCTTTTTTTCTTAATTTGTAAAAGAAATAAAGTATGAAGTCTCCGGGAGCAGCCAACCTCGTGTCTGGGTTTCCCCCGTGTTCGACCTCCATTCAGAATCTTGAAGGAATGTGGCCTATACAACGAATTGCGGTTCCCAGGCGATGTACAAATCAATGCACTTATCCTCCCAAACGAGTCTTATGCTAATAAACCAACCTTGGAGGGATCGAAGGCTTGTTTGGTCTGGGCGAGTACCGGTCCGAGACTTTATGTCCGGAATATGGCTGTATGATAGTGCACCACTTGCCATTACAACACCTCCACCCAAACAATTTTCAATTCATTGGGGGAGTGAAAATGCCCTTCCTTCCATTCAACTCCTAGTAATTATTCCATAGTGTGAGTGGGTACAATGGTAATATGTAGTAATGTTGTGGTAATGATACTGCCCCTGCAAAAAGCTTGCTGTTAGCTGTTTCTCTCCTTCACATACAACTTTTCACTGTTGGATCCGCTGAAGCGCTTTCTGAAGCCTTTTGGAATCTTTCCCATTAACTTTAGTCATATACTTTTTGAGACTATACTTATTTGAAGTCCAGGCCTGACCATGCCTGACCATCTCCTTGAATACACTAAAAAGTCTTATAATATTCAGCTGAAACGGAAGGGTAGACGATCATTTCTCTTTCGCGATGAGGTGTGCTCCTTTCCTTGGCAAGTACTCCCGGAACTCCTTCCTTGAACTTTGGCTACCTTTTTTCCATATTTTTTGCATGTTTACCTTGCAAATAGTCCTAAAAATTCTTCCTTGGATTTTAGTTACCTACTTTTATCAATTTGCTTGTTTAGTAACCGCCTAAATATCTTCTTGAACAACTCTGAGTAGCCCAATATTCAGCTTCGAGGGGAGGTGGGAAGACGCTCATTTCTTTTCGTGATGAGCTATGCTCTTTTTCTTGACAAGTACTCATACTTATATACTAGTCAAAGAGACATGCATTCTCGGCGGCGCTCTCGATATTTCCACACAAATAAACAATGCATGCGACCACTCGCTAAATTGAACAACGCTCTCAAGCTCTTGGGGGGATTGTGAAAGGCATAATGTCAATCATTACTCGCATGATTAACTTGACAGTAGTTACTAGTACTTTATGTTTGTAGTACCATCACCACTAACTTTAGTCTCTTAGAGAATCGTAGATTATTTAGGCTAGTGATGTTCTACTTTGGGGAATCAATTTTTATAAATTATTTATAATTGAAGGTTACGGTGGTTTTTGATTCAAGAAATGAAGAGCTAAAAGTGCCTTTTTGTTCCAGCTCCCCAACCTCGACTTTTCACTTCACCCGATCCCTATGTTGCCACACTCGTCCTTAGCCATCCCTCTTCCCTTTCATCCTCTTTACTATATTTGGAAATCACCCATTCCTGATATACTTGTACGTTTACTGAGTAGTAGCTTAGACGTTTATCTATTATAGTGTGAAGTGAATACCACAATTGTTGAGGGAAGTCGAGTGCGTGAGACCCCAGTGGAACAAATGACCGTAGGAAACCTGATTTCCTATTCCCTCACATATTTTTTTCGAGTTTTACCCGTACTCCCTAATCCAATTGATGCTCTTCAGATCGAAAATCTTGCTAAGATATTTAAGGAGATGATAAAAGGAGTAAAGAGTAGTCATTGGCGTTAATGCACTTAATTTATTATGCGCCCCCTCACTCGACTTCCTTTCAAAATCGTAGTGGCGTTGTGAATGATTATGGCCTATACAATGGATTTCTGTGGCCAGCCCATGGACGAGTCAGTGCTTTAATCCACCCAGACGAGTACGGTACAAACTAACAGATCCCGGAGGGATGGAAAACATCGACCATGCGTATCTGATGGTTCTCCGCTCGCCACTACATCACTATCCACATACATAAGACCGTTGAATTATAAAAAACAGTAAAGTAGTAAACAACAGTGCATTGACCCTCCGACAGTCTGCCTCTCTTTCAATCCCAAACAGGAAGGTGGATGGATCCACTAGGCCGCTAGGTATCCTTTCCTATCGCTGAATCTCTACCGCCTAAAATTAAAATCGGGTTAGGAAGCCCTGATTGCTCCCAAGCAACTGAGCGAGTCATACGTCGTCTTTGTTTCCTCTTGCCCCTAGAAGGCTTCCTAGTCTCCTCTTATGTCTTTGTAACTCGTCCGTTTTTTCAGCTACTGAAAGGAGAGCCTTACTTCGTCGGTTTCCTACAAATATTTTTGTTTTTTTAGCCATTTGCAGGCCATTTCCCGCTCCACTAACATTTTTCAGCCAAAACAAATTGTTTATCGTATTCACTAGTTTTGAATGAGCTCGTTGAAAGGCTACTGCAAGTGAAAAACAAAAAAAGGGAAATTAATGACGATAATAATGAAAAAACCAACTAATAGGGAAATAAATATTGTAATATTGAAGGAGAAAAAACTAAGTAAACAAACTAACGTGCATGATTAGCAAAAATGACCAAATAGAATGGAGATGGTAAGAGAGGGACGCTCACGAATAAAATATTTATTTCATAAACTATTTACCAACATTTGACAAAAATACTTCGTGTAATAAGGCGAATGTCTTCACAGGCAGGTGATTGTACGATAACTAAGGCGTTACTAGTATTCCAAAAAGTATAGAATATCAACAGATAATTGTCATTGAGAAGATGGCTACAAAAACAAAGTCCTGGTGTTTTCCAGACGAAGTCTGGACGCAGGTCCTTGATTAATTACAAACATTTTTAAAGAACACCAGACATGTAAGCTTCAGTCCAAATGCTGGCAAACAGAACACTGCTGGGATTTGATCCGCAAAGTTTGGCAATGCTTTTAATACATATCGATTTATCAACCAATATTCATGCCATCTCATGACTCCTGGTTGTCAACATTTATGATTAAGTGTTTTATATGAGAAGAACGAGAAAGTAGAATAAAGGTGAGGATGCGTGCGATAGAACGCCACTGTTCAAAGCCTCAATCTTCACAAGCTACTAGTCTTTTAAGGAAAATGAAATCGGTCAGAACTGTGATGTCAGAATTACTGCAGTACCGTGAACGCTAATGCAAATCGGAAGGATGGCATTAATACAAAGGAACCAATTGCGTGAGTGAAAGTGCCTTCAGTTGAGATTTGCGAGACCAAAAGGCGGAGACCTCGTAGAACAGAAGCCCCGCCCACTTAGGCGCAACCCCCGCCTACTTGGTCTCCTTGCAAGTAAGGCTGCGTAGTGAAGGGGACAAGCTAAAGAAAAAGAGGCAAGAATACACAATGATGAAATTCAAATTAGTTTAGAAAAAGTCGTGAAATCTGATTGCTGTATTTTCAGAAACTGATGAGATGGCACGAATGCTATTTTTCGGATAGGTCAAATAGGGCTGGCAGCGATGGAAGAAGATTATTCGAGTACAACATATTTCGGCAATGGTACAGATAAAACAAGTTTATAAAGGGTCAAGGGATTAAGGGCTAAAGGGCTAACCTATATGTCATCGGCTGACATGGTTGGCTATAATGGACGTTCTGCTATGAACGATTTTCGATCAACTGAAAATAATAACAAGAACGATAACAGTTACTATTATAATTACAACTAAAGGCACTACTACGAAGAACAAGCAATTAAGGCAACAATCACGGGAATCGGAACAGTTGGAAGGCGTCCATCTCAGTACTCGTATTTGAAAAGGTTGTCGTTTTGTGCTGAAAAAGTAGCAATTCACAGATGGTGTTGTGGAGTGTTGGGCCTGTGCAAAGAAGTGAAAAGGCAGCTCAACTACAGCTATTTAGTTTGCATACTAACAAGTTGTTCGATTGCCTCAATTCATCTAGTAAATTGCTGCTATTTCGGGATAGTTGTCAACTGAACGGGAGGAATCAACCAATAGGGAAAACACCACAACGATGCTCCGCCCACCCGTTCATCGCGGAATATGCATACATGTTGATTTCAAAAAAATCTTTCTATTCTCCTCTCTCTATTACTTTGTTATGAACTTCAGGTCACACCCCTTCTAGTGCACTGCTTGTGAGGTAAAGGTGCAGGTGCGAATGAGAACGTAAATGAGCAAATAACAAATAAATAAACATATATATAAACATTTTAACTAGACCGATAGAAGTCAAGCAGGTGAGGAGCGCAACGCAAAGTATAAACCCACATGGTAGCTTAAAGACTATCAGACGAAAAATGAGCGAATGGGGATAGGAAAAATCTTATGCCAAGGTGTTTGATCCAGATTGGGGCATTTTTTGTGGACTTTGGATAAAAGGCGTTGATTTCGAATTCATGCCCAACGGCGAGACAACTAACTAGCGGCGAGTGGCTATGTCCCAAAGCTACACATCCATGCGAATATGCATTAATACAAGCTTAGACAGCTCCTAAAGAATTCAAAAACCAAAAAATCGATGCCACCGAGGCAATGCTCATTGTACGGGGAAAATCTATGCCCTAAACGCCTTTTTTCGTATCCCTTGTCCCTTTCGGAAAGAGGTTATGAACTCGCTTGGTCACAGACCTTCCGGGAAATAAACCCTTCAAATCCTCTTAAGGCAAAAGTGGAATCCCCACATGACCAGATTCATTTTAGGATGAAAAAACTTCGCAGAATTTTGAAAAATTTATGTGGAACCCCACAGAGGGCCCACTAACGGTTCAATAGGTCCCTAAATATTAGTTGAGCTTTTCGCTGTAAACAAGCTTCGATCGCCTGTCTACCACCCGATGATTTGCATTTTCATTTGTATGTGCATATATAATGCCTAGGCAAGCATTTGCAATTTGAAGAGAAGAGAAATTGTTGCGATACGAAAAAAAAAACGATTACTAGTTGCCTTACCTAGTTACTGTAGTGGTAACCTTTTTCGTGGTTGGCATTCCTCCCCTTCCATCATACAGTAGACGTGTATCCGCTCCACCGTATTCCATACCCGTGCTTTCCATTCCCATCATTCCATTCCTTCCAGTATTCACCTGATGTGCAACCGGTCCTCCATATTCTATGCCCGACTTCTCCAACGTCATCATACCGTTTCCACCTCGGTCTAGTTGACGTATTTCTGCACCACCGTATCGTAGACCTACAAAAATGACAATTCGTAGCCAAGGTGGACGTTCCTCATGTTTTCGACTTCACTTCTCCTAGGATTAAAACAACGAAGTACTACATTGTAAATTGCTGATAGGACACATAACTCGAACTAAATGGGTGGCAAGGCGGACCTCAATCTGTTATTGTCTATGGAAAGCTTCTGCCGACAATTTTATAACAGTGCAAATTTTCTCTGGAATGTTCTGGAAGGTTCTATACAAGTACCACACTAGAGGATTCTATCCCCTCCCACGCGCATACCACATGTGGGAATTCATGACATCGCAGTTGGTTTATCAGATGGGGCTAATCTTCGGACTTTCTTGAAAAATGTGATGCGTTGGAACGAGGTGTAAACAGAACCGCCTAAATGGGTTTCAATGGGTTTCAGCAGCGGGGCTGTTGGCTTCGAACTTGTTAAGAAGTAGGTATCGAGTATGGGTAGATATTACAGTACTGATACGGTTAAATAAGCAAGGAAAAGGTTGTCGATTATGTTACGTTTATACTCGGCAGATAGGAAGCTCATAGAAGCTTTCGGAAAGTCGGGACGAGACCAGGATTTTTCTGAAATCTTGGCAGATTCTTCCCTAACGACGTAATAAATCAGTCTGGCATTAAAAGGTGGTCGCTCATGACAGCGTTTCTCAGAAAAAATGAAATTTATTCCTAACTATCAATAGCTATCCGCCTAAGTCCTCTGGTGTGTCTGAGTGAGATGTTTAGGGCTGGATCTTAATTATGTAGGAAGTTTACCAATATTAAGGGAAGGATTTGGTGTAATCCTGATGATAAAGTCCCAGAAACAGATGAATAGGGAAATCAAGTCTGTACAGGAACCTTGTTTTTCTAAACCGGGTTAGAACTTAGATACATAGGTATGTAACAGAACACAGACGACAAATCAGTAGTACTAGGAGTAGAAGCTACCCGAACGTCCTTATACCGAAATGGAATGTTCTCAAGGGAGAGGAGTATAGTCCTAAGCTAATTCCCACCTGCTAAACTGAAGATGTGGTGGTCTTTGCTACCTACTAGGGTTCCCTATCCTTATTACCACGGCCTAACAACATCGATTTTGAAGAAATCGTCATTACGGCCTTGCCTACGCTAGTTTGGTAAGGTGTACTCGGTAAAACGAAACAAATTTTAGATAAGCGGGTTCCCAACAGTGGCGGAAGGGTAAACAGTTGCTGTAGAGATAGTAAGTATAGAACAAGTAGGGGAAAGAGTACCGTTTCCGCCTCCTTGAGTAATATTGGCTCCTGGCGTTTGCGAAGGATATGGAAGAGGAATGTCTGTAACAACCAAGTATTCGACAGATTTACTCTCATTTAAAACTTTTGAAGAGTCTTTCTTACAGGAAGGACGAGCTACTGGTGTTTGGCTTTCATTCACATGCTGCTGCTGCTGCTGCTGCTGCGGCTCCGTGGTGCCAGGGTAGTGACGGCTCCGGTACACCTCCTCGACTAGCTGAGGGAGTGGACGAGCCTGAAGACATGAGAACCTTTGTTAGATGATTTTGGAGATTTTTGGAGATTAAAGACCCTTGGTTTCAGGGGGTTGAACATTTTATATCTTCATAGGGTTAAAAAAATTGAGGTTCCATGGTTGCTTTTTGGGTAGGTATTTTTCACCTTTCAGTCAATTACGATGGAATTTGACGGAGGAATCTTCTACAACCACTCCGTCCTTATCTTGATTGCCCTTATGTTTTTGCACTTGTACGTAATCTACAGTCTAGGAAATACTGGTAGAAGGGAGCTAGAGCACATGAAGGATCTGAACTATAGGTAGTGAACTCTGGTAAACTGTAAGTTAATAGGGAAATTCAGATTATCTGGACTTAGCCCCTTGTTCAGAAGTAAGATGCAACCTATCCTGTAGGTTATACCATTGCTACGTTCGTGAAACTTACCGGTAATACTGGTACAATCCTCAGAGGCACAAGGGGGATGAATATTGAGACTCTTACACTTACATATGCTTCCCAAACATTGTGCCCCTTGCTTCTGGGCTCATACAACCATTCATTTTCCAGTTTGTTAACCTTTTGGGGGTATTCGCCTATGCAACTACCATTTTTCACGAAATTCTACGTTCTACACATCCTGTTTTGGCCATGGTAATCTAAGGTCTGTGAAACCCCTCCGAAATTAGAGATAAAATAGAGAAAGGAGGGCAACGCAGCTTCAGAAGAGGGGAAACTGGTATAGCTACTTTACTAAACTCGCTGTTTCTTTATTATATTCACCGGAGCTTACCATGGTTCATATTACAGTACGCACTCAATAAAAAGAAGAATTTTTGTAAAGTTAAAGTATTACTGTGAAGACGAACTAACATTGTCTACCCTGTGGACAATTCTTGTCTCATCACCCCAGTCGTCACCGTAATCGGAGTCATGATACGATCTGACGGAACTCTGGAATACGAAGAGTTGTTGAGAATCATAAAAAAGATTATAATACTAGTAAACAATACAAAATACTAGTAAACTCTGAAGTAGTAACGTTTTGAATTGACTATGAATTTTGCTTTTCATTTCTAAATTTTTGCATGGTACTGCACTGATAACGACTAGGGACCAATAGATGTTCACATCAGAGTTGGCCCATTCTTCCACTGAAAAGGGGATAGGGTCCTCATTTTTGTAACCAACCCTGGGAGATGTACGAGTTGTCCGTTTAACAGAGGCTCAGGAGCAACAAGTTGTGAGCAATAGGGAACAGAACCAGCCAATGAATGTTTTAGCAGCTATGGCTACACAGAAACAGATGTAGAGGCCGTAGGGTTCATGAAGGCGAAAGTGGCAATCATCTAGCCCTCTACGCCCCTTATCAAAGCCCCTATACCAGGTCTAACCTGCCACATGTGTACCTTTTCATTGTCTGTTCATATTTTCAAATCCCCACATTTCCAAGCCAATCTCCTTATCTACACCCTTGAAATGAATAAAGTTCAAAATTAAAAAATCTCACCAATGTTCTTACCTGAGCGTTCGACTTCCTGTTCACTTCAATTTGAGTCAATGGCCGACTTGGAGTCATATTTCCTGAGACCATCATCCCATTTTTGTCAAAATCTAAATATTCGGACGTGAAATAGTTGCAAGCTTGTAAACCAAACACATGTAAAGTAATCATAAAGGGCAGAAACCTTGTGAAAATTCTTGAACATTTCCCCAAGAACAAACCTTCCCTGGGAGGCTGATCATAGAGGTGATATGGGGCACCGATGTTCTGTTGTGTATATGCTGGGTCGAAGCCTCGTTTTCCGCCGTCCCTTTCCCTGAAAGTGAAACTTCCTCTCCAGCTACATACAGCATGAAATTAAGCAAACACTGACGAAATCCTCGAAATATTTCTGAAAGGGATCGACCTTCGAAGTAGGCTAGGAGGCCAAGCTGCTGCACACGCTCATTGGTGGATCATCGAGCTACAAAGCTACGGGTACGCGCAGCTCGGCAATCCACCAATGAGGGCGTTTCTAATGGAAAGAGAGCTGTCTTCGACCATAAAATTTTGTAGTATCACAAAAGATTCTCAGCTTTCAGTGTAACAAAGATTTTTTGCTTCTTCAGCGATAAGTAATCATCCCATGAGAGTGGGTGATGAAGTAAGCGGTTCCCATGAGATTGTACCGTATCGTAGACTACGTTTTGAAGATGATCTCCACGAATTTTAGCCTTTCCCTTTAAACACCTCACTGAAAGATGTCAAGCATACAAGTATAACCATACCTGGTAAACTCGTTCCTGTTTCTCATCCTTACGTCATCCAAATTGCCGTTCTGCTGGGGTTCCTCAATACGCCCTGATGAGTCTCTAGGAGGGACTCTTGAAGCGGGCATTGTAACTCTTGAAGTGGGAGTGTTCATCTGGTCCGCAGTATACAAATTCGGCACATTTTCGTATCGCCTGCCACTCGGATCGACGGCAAACTCTCTTAAAGATCAAAGTAAAATAGTTGGAGACAGTGTAGGCCTCATAGTCACTCACAATCTGCCAGGTGAACTGATCGTGTCAATACGATCAGCTGATCGAGATCGTGGTAACGAGAAGTACGGGATTGGCTCACGATCCACAAGAGCTCCCGTTGACGACGTCTCGTTACGGAAGTCGATTAGTGTTTCCTTTGGGATTTTTCTTGGACTACGATTGCTGGCTTCACTCGTTATGGTTGTCTCGGGACGGATCTCGTAGAAGGAGTGCCGCCCCGTGCTCGGAGTTCCTTTCGGACGAACTACCACAGTTGGATAGTATGGATCGTCGATTGTAGTCTCACGAGAGGGCTTCGAAGGAGCGCTGGAATTTGTAAAAAAATAGACCAAGAAGGTTTATACATATTATGGGGACTAGTGTTATGTAAATAGTGTGTGTAATTAATCGATAATTCCCAGTTCAACGCACTCGCACTACTATTTGTGGGCGGAGCTTGGCACGGCTCAACGCTTTCCTTATTGGTTGATCAATCGCGTAGCCAATAAAAGCTCGTTAATACGCCACTGAGGAATGAACTAGCAAGGCTCACACAACTATGACTTCAACTTTTTAGCGTTCCTACGTTCCTACTATTCTCAAGTACCAGCTTAACAAACGTAGAGCCCATTGGTTTTCTGGGAGTTGATCAGTTCTTTTTGGTTAGCCAAATACTACTTGGATATATGGGCCCTCTAAAAATGTTGCTTGATGCTGACGATCAGACAGAACAGTATGGCTTCAAAATGGTTGGTTCCCCGTTCCAAGAAATTCTGATTTCCATTTTCAGCGGAGGCGGTGGTTGTCAAATGTTTTGTCTACAGAAACATTCCACGGAAATGAATAGTTGAGCGGAAACCAGACTCTCTTTGAAAAACAAATCATTGATTTTGATTCTAGCTGTTATTCCCGTTAAAAAACAGTAATTACTATAAGTTACAACTGATATCTTATTAAAAATCCGTTTTTGAGCTATTTTTGAGCTACACCATAAGTGGTGGAACTGGGTGGAGTGGGTGCAGAACATTAGTGGGTCCACCTTACATTTCACACTGTTGAAGCTTCCGAGACGTCTTCATAAGGTGACTGGAGGGTGTAGAACAAAGTAAGTAGATCCGATAAGTATTGATCTAGTAAAAAATATACTAGTACTGAGCTTACCTTATCTTTCTGTCCGGCTCCGTCGGATTTCCACCATTTAGCTCTCCAAAACTACGTTTGTGAGAACGTGTTGACACTTCATATACATACCTGTAAACATTTTTCAGTCGAATAGGATCTAACCAGCATATAAACAACAATGAAGCCCCAACTTTGTTACTGTCTCAGTGCTTAGTTGAGTTGGCTGCTCCCGAGTCCGATTCTGGGACACGGTACTTGGACCAGACGCCTTTACTCCATCTGCTGTTGTTTTGCCATTTGTAGGCTGAGACGGCTTCTTAAGCAGATTTTCCTGCAAAGTAATTTTCCGAGAGGTTTACAAACAAATAGGAAGGCTGAATTAAACCTAAATTCATAGCCGACGATCATAGAACTTGGTTCTATAACTCGAATATTTGGGACAAAGGGCGGGTGCAACTGGAGTTTTTCTTGGTGGCCATGGAGCTGGCGACTTTTACGTCGAAATGGCTTCGGGACGATAATTAGGATCGTGTGTGGTAATGTTGGAGTATCCTTAGGATTGGCTGATCTCGAACCTTCCAGCCCTCCTAGTATTTTGAGAGGGTTAGAACCAAAACAGGGCGGAGATGGTGTAGGGGCAAGTGGCGCCCTTTAACGTGAATGGTCATGGATTCGAATCCCGGAACGATTTCCGCCCATAACCAAGCCTTCCATCCCTCCGGGGTCGGTGAAATGGTGCCAGACTCGTCTGGAAAAGCACTGACTTGTACATCGGCTGGCCACCGCAAGTCATCCTTTAGGTCATATACACATTCAATACGCCACTACGATTCTAAGTGCAAGTCGAACGCGAGGCGCATCCCATAGACGGGGTTGATTAACGCCCCAAGACTTTATCCTTTACCTTTTAGGAACCGAGGCAATCGAGTAGGGAAAGGGGTAGGTTTGACTTGGAAAAATTACGGTAAACAAAAGTAAACAGAACTCGGAACTTGGAACTTACTCTGGAATCGATGGAGATCTTCGATGTGAGCTTGGGCTCTTCACGAGGCAAAATCGTCGTTTTTACTAGGACCGGGCGGTGCTCGATTACTTTAGCAGTGGGTTGAGTAACCTTGGCAGTATCATCTGAGCGAGTTGTCGTGGTTACTCCAGTGCTAGTTCCACTCAAACGACTTGGTGCTTCAGCTGATTTTTGAGAAATTGAACTTCCACGAGTTACACTGCTTGTTGTACTGATTTTACTCGGTAGTACAGGGAAATCCTTCGTTAATGATTCTTTGAGTTTTTCATTGAATTGTCGAATAACGGTATCCCTGGAGCTTTGGGAAGATCCTGACGACTCTCCAGTATTACCCGATGTGGGTGGAGAAATACCATGGCTTCGAAGTGTATGTACCGGTGGCTGTTGTTCATACTTGAGTCGAGAGGTATCTACAGAGCTCTGGGACGATATCACTGAGTGGCTTGAATCAATAGATACATTCGATCGCAAAGAAGGAGCTTGTTCATATTTGAACCCGGGAGTGTCCCGAGAGCTTACGGATGATCGTGATAGTCCTCCAAGGCTAACCGATTGAGCTATCGAATCGTCATGGGATCGTGATAATCCTCCCAAGCTTACGGATTGGGCAATCGAATCGTCGTTGCTTTCAGTTGTTCGTGAAGAAGTGATTCCGTATTTGAGACGAGAAAACAGTGCTTCGAAGTTAGCGACGCTCATACGCCAATAATTCCCCCGGAGGTGCTCCTGCAGCGGGTCATCTGAAATTGTAAGAATTCCTGTTACAGTAAGTATGCAGCAAAATTGAGAATTGAGAATTAAGAAAATTGAGAATTTCAACACACCTTGAGAACGCTGGAAGATACAGGAAGTGTTCACCTTGTAGACGTCGGCTCTGTCGAGGTTTAACCTTGAAAGTTACCAATTATTCAGGCAAGAGGGTATTGAAAGTGTCGATTTTAATAGTTTGTGAGAAAAGGTCATGCGGCATTATAAACTAAGTCCAAAAGGCTTGATCTGGACATGCCTGATTGGATGACCTAAAATTAACTCATTGTCTGGGCTCTCCTATATTCGCGCACACACTAGAACCTGCCGGGTGCCGCCCTCCCTGTCGAGGGACGCCACAGATTTTCAGGGCTCACTGGGACATTTGTGACCCAGTTTTGCAGCTTAGAGTCCCATACCACGCTTCGTTACTCAACTACCTTTCCAGTAGCTGTGAAATCAAGTAAGAGCGTCAAAGGTCGTTTTGAAATGATTCAAAGCTTCAGAGCTTGGCTGAGTCACAGCCTCATCAGTTCTGAAAAAACTCGCAGTGGAGAAAAGTGCCAGTAATTTATCAAGGACTGACTTCAGTGGGAGTTAGGCACTTCTTTGTGTTGCTCATTTCAAATTTATCGCACCAGATGTTCAATTGGCTGGACAATCGCCATTAGCGAGAAGGACATGTGCCCGCTTTCTGCGAAACTTTCACAATTTTAGGTTTCAAAGATTGCGGGGCCGAAGGTAGCGCAACTCATCCTCATCGAATTTCCCTCTTGGATTTCAGGAGTTCCTTCTAAATTGCTGAAAATGCAGTTCCAGATGCAGTTTGCCTCATTCATAACCCGAAGTGGAAGAAATTAAGGAATCTCTCAAGAACCGAAACTGAAGATAACCAAGGTATGCTTTTGACTGAAGACTGGTTTCAAAGCATCTGCTAACTCCGTATAGAAGACCCGGACGAGTCATCTCTCAACGTGTGGACCCGCTCTGTCACAGGATAAGCAAATATTGAGTGTTTCATGATAAACTCAGGCTGAGTGCCGGTCATCATCTGGAGCAAGCGCTAGCGGATAGCTCACTCTGCGTGAGAACTATGTAGTATCCAGAAGGTTTTAGAAGCAAATCCCTTCCGGTTTTGTAAACCATGCAGTGGGATTGATTTTTCTGAATGTTGGGCTATCAGAATTAGCCACAAAATCAAGGAAAAGCGCTGAGACATTGTAACCCCCCGCATGGTACTCCCGAACAAGACTACCATCCATTAACAGTCCCCCTAAGCCTTCCTTGACACTTGTAAGAGCTTACAAGTTAAATTTTTTACCCAATTTACAAAATTGCCAACAGTT